GCGCCGTTAATTGTTAATACACTGAGTTGAATAAATCAAATCTAGTGCGCAATAAATAGATGGTGTTACAGCGCCACCTATCATGTAAAGGATGCAACATATGCTCAACCACCTGCGATTTTGTGTTTTTATTTTCTATGTTTAACGTCTTTTACTATATTATAATCTTCTGTTATGTTCCATTTCTCACTTGCTACAATACACAGTTTCTAAACAGTCACGAGTTTTCTAAATTATTTCAAAGCCTACAAAATCCATTTCATTAATTCTCTAAAGAATTAACCGATGGTGAACTCTTTCGTAGCGATAGGTCCGTTGCGGGATTGACATCCTTAAGTGCTTTGCATCGCGCCGTGTATTAATAAAACCCTAAGTTGAATCAATGCAATGCGGTGAGCAATATTCGGCATTCATTTTATTACTATGCAATAGTAAATCCTTTTAATATACCTTGTACATTGTCAGCATGAATTTGGGAAACGTCCAGGGTAGGCTGGACATATTACCAGTATATCGTAGTTTTGATATATATTGAGCCGTGATGGACACTTTCCGGGCGCTAGCTTTTAATTCCAAATACTCGAACAATCTGATATCGATCATCGGTACCGGCACTTATTAAATTGTTAATAATGTAGTACCTTAAATGATAAACTAATACAAAATATATAATAGAACAATGAACCTAAAATTAAAAACTTAAAAAAATAATAATATTATAACTAAAATATATCATTATACAGGAGTCCCTTTAGGTAAGGGAAGATACTGGCAGGGTTCCCCCTTTGAATAGCTAGACTTATTCTTTGTCCGAGGTAGCTGCCAGCTCTTCCGTCTCCTGTGATTTCGAGTAACCTTTTTGCTATTTCCTCAAAGTTTTTTTTTTTATAAATTGCCCAGCGCCTATAATTTTCGATCCAAAAACAGAGTAAGAGTATCATTCGAAAACTTTATTTAGTCTTTTAAAGCCCCAAAAGGAGGGGGTCCTTAGACTGTATTTTTTATGTTTGTAACCTCAGAACTTTCGACTGAGTTAGCCAATTTTGATGATTCTTTTTTTACTTAAAAGCTAGTGCTTCCCATATAGTCCCATATTAATTTCGTTGGTATGGGATAACGGAGATACTTAGGGAACCCGTAAAAATTTTAATTAAATTCAATTATAGAAATGAATACAAAGCGGTTTTGTTTTTTGTTAAGAAGAACATGGATTTGTTACCGAAATTTTCATGTTAATAGATATTTGAGTCATGTTATGTTAGACATACAACAGAAAGAAATCATTTTTTCATAAAAGGCACATTTGTGGAATAAAGAAAGAACCGATGTCTTCAGACAATATCGCAAGTTGCACAACACTCACAAATCAGCGGGCCATGATTTATCGAAGTTGTGAGGCACGAGCAATATATCCCGACACAATTTGACATTGTAGGCAAATATAGGCTTACGAGTGTTTTATGTGTCAACTTTGTCGCCCTGCAGTACTTTGCTTATGCTTAAACTCGGATCAAAATACTTGCAGGAACGATTTTCTATCGTCGTTTTTGACATCTTCAGAACTGATATTATATGAAACAAAGAAAAACAGTGTTTGTGTATATTAAACTTTACCATGAACTTATTAGTAACCAGAAATTACGGTTTTATTTAAAGATTTAATTTAATTTTTTTTAAATAAAATCTTTCTTTAAATAAAACATTTCGAAAATTTTCGAAGTGGTAAATGATTAGTAAAAGATGATAAATGCGACAATTCTCGAGTGACGGGGACATCTGCTACACCCGAGCGTTCCAGATGCGTTGACAACCTTTTAAAAATTGGGTTCCGGCCACCTCACTCACCCAACGAAACGCGAAAGTATTGTACTTCCACATGTCGGTCTTCTTTGAGGTCGTGGTACTTACCCGGACGAGCCTGTCGATTTGTGCAACAGCCGAGGCTACTGCGTAGCCCTACCACCGTGAATATAATAGGAAATGGTCAATCTTCATTGTTATTTACTTCTCCTCCCCTCAATTGCTTTTCCCATAAAATATAATAATAATATCATAATTTTTCTTATTTTCTTTAATATATTTAGCAAGAAAATTTTTATTCGTCGTTTATTCTGTAATTGTAAATCCGCACTTAAAATTCGCATCGAGACAAGTCGCAATTTATTCCAATATAATAATTACCTTTAAGATAAATTGGAAAATCACTCGAGTTAAATTGATCTGCACAATGTAATTTAAGTAATAAAATATACAACATAGTTTTCGTAAATAGTATACTATAGTCATTCTCTCTCTTTAACCGTGGCTATTGGGATCTTATGCTAATAGTATAACATCATAACACAAATACTGTTATAGTTTTCCGTTGTTAATCGTAATTATACAAAATGATTTCGCCCATTCGTGTTTATTTCTAATACGAATTCGTGTTCTGCTAAGGTTCCTAGATTATTACTTATAATTCAATTAATTGATTGTACTTTATTTTATAAAAAAAATACATTAATAGCCTATCCTATACAAGTCCCACTGCTAAGCAGGCCTACTCTGTATTAGGCCTACTCTGCATAGTCCAACATGCCTACAAATCGTCTACAAATTTATTTTCATTTTTTCAAAAATGTGCAGGTTCCTTCAAGAAGTTTTCCTTATAATACCTGATAATTAAGCACTTAAAATTAATTAAATTTTACTGGTGATACTGATAATACGGGATTAAAAGTCCGGGTGATCAAATATAATTAAAAGCGAACGCATGGAAACTGCGTTACCACGTATGTGGTATATATATACATATATACATAATATGTTATTAGTATAGAGTAATTAATACGTGAGTAAATTATAAATAAGCGAAATGCCAATTAAATACAATAATTGATAACTGAACCAAATTTATTTAAGTGGAAATGCAGTTGTTTTCTGATCTGATCCATGTGAGTATTCTGTTTTACCTTTTATATTTACATCGAACCCGCATCACAACCGCAAAAAGAACTTCTGAGTTAGTGTCAATATTATAGTGCCCTTGTCAACTTTATAAGGATTTAACAGATACAACGAGAATGGAATGATAGTTTTATTTACGTCTTATTTACTGTTTCACACTATCATTGAATATTATAATATCATACGTAAGTTCTCAAAAAGTCAATGGTCATTTTCAACTTTTAGCATTTTCTTTAAAGTACATTATAGTTATTGATAGCCGGCTATTTAAATGCGTAAACACATCTTGAAACAACACAGTTGTGTTTTCTAAGTTACAATCAAAAAAGTCGCAGTTAATTTTGAATTTATGAGCAATAACCGACTTCTGTCTAATACCGATTTTGTGTCAAAGAATTTTAATCTTCGGTAGGTGGTTCATTTTATCTAAAGCTGCAATTAGATGAACAATATAGCGGAACCCTTTGTACGTCTCATCCGTCGATGATGAAAAGGTAGAAAAGATTTCTAACCTGGATTCTTGTTAATTGAACAACAATATTTTTTATGCCTTTTGTAATCCTTTTTTATGGTTTTACAATAAGGCATAAATAAATAAATAAATAACTTGACACAAAAAAGGGAAGAATATAGTTTCACTTCTCGTCCACAACCAGCCTACTCATTCGTGCAACAACAAAAGATGCTTCGTGACCTTGCTGCATGTCAAAAAATAAAAGAAATTAAAAAAATATACTTATAAATAATACAGTACAGCAAAAGAACCAAATACATAATTAAAATATAAACAAAAGAAAAAGAACTTTAACCAACCACAAATATTGTACGCCCTATTCCGGTAAATTAAGTTAGCAGCTCAGCATTATGCTATGCCGGAAGTCAAGGCCCCAACACAGCCAATATAATTGACCTTGAATCGATTTCAACAATAAATTTCCATTAGTTCATTCATAATAAACGGTTATTAATTAGAAACCGCTAGTGAACTAATTAGCAAGCGAAAATTGTTAAAAATTTTCGTATTTTCAAAAATAAAAAACAAGTTTTCAAACTTTATATTTAGGAAGTTACCTACGTTCTTATATCTTTGGGAAATATTATAGATATATATTGTAAGATAGACTGCATATTTAAGGATATAAACCAAAAACACATTTTCCATCAATTATTTCTAGTAATTAAAGTAAAACTTCTATTAATATTTTCGCCAATGTAAAAGCGATCCATGAACGACTACGCAATATCGAGTTAATATCGAATCATCGGATAATCAATAAAACACTTTTATTTTAATTTTTATATAGATTATAAAATCAGTTACAATTTTTTTATAGTTTTTAAATGTGTATTTATAGCACCACACTAGAGAGCCAATTAGAAGTAGTTTACTACTAATTTGTCTATAAACTATAGAATAAGGTACAATTTGTAGATTAACTAGTACATTTTTATTGACAAAAAACGAAAATCTTCAAAGATCTCTCAAGTCTCACTCACTATACGTCTTTATTTGATGTTTGAGGAGTTCCCTGATGTATCTCCAGAGTCCCAAGCACGATATCAATTAAATTTAAATTTGACCACAGAACACAGAACCCAACGCGAAAATTATTTTTAAAATCGGTTCGTTAATGAAAGAATTAAACGTAGGAGTTAATGCGTGACAAACATACGAAAATAAAAAAATACAACTAATTAGATAGGCTCCTCCTTTCTTGAAGTCGGTTGGAAAATAGCGCTACACTAAAAAAAATCTATTGTTTCGTATACGTAGTATAAAATGTCTAACTTGATAAGGAGGCTAAATCATTAGCGCTGTGAAATGATAATAAAATTCCTTTAAAACAATGCAAGGGTAGAAGTATTAATTAAGATAAGGCTGCTATTGGCCATTGAAAATTTTTCATACCAATTTAAAATCAGCACAAATCAAATGCAACAAATTTTATTTCCAATCAGTCTTCAGTCTAACTTCGACTTCCGTCATGCTGTTATAACTGATACAGACTTTCGGATTATTGTTTCCATTCGCTATTGATATGTGTAATGCGATGTTTCCTTTGACTTATGCCTTCGTAGCCGTATTTTTTCATGCAGTACGCGTAGAGACGGCTGCACTAAAGCCGCGTTACAACGTCGAACAGGCGTCGAGCTTGTTTGAAGAATTTGCGCGCGACCACAGCAAACGGTACAAAGATAATGCTGACAAACTGAGGCACTACGAAGCCTTTGTCCAGACTCTACTGTGGATTAACTATCTGAACGCGATCCAGGATTCAGCCGTGTTCGATATTAACGATTTCTCCGATAAAACGGTGGACGAAGCGATGGGGATGTTCGAAAAGGGTTTCTCGTCGTGAGCGTTATGAAGTGAAATGGTTTAAACATTAACAATAAAAAATTAATGGACTGGTTTGCATTATTTTCCATCCTGTTTGAATTGATCCCATTATCATCATAAATAGGATATTTAATTCCATTAAAATTGTTCCCATTGTTATCATATTAGGCAAAAGTCTAGTAGTACTATTTGAAATTACTTCTGGTAGAATTTTTTAAAATTTTGCCATTCTAATTTAATCATCAATTTCAATGTAAAATAAGTGATGGAAGTCATAATGGCCTCATACATTAGCTAAGCGAGTTTCGATTACAACGTTCCAAGGTCTATAACAAGTAGTTAAACAGGCTGTTAATAACCCAATGAGGAGCCCGTCTCTTTTAATTTCATTAGAGACACGACTTTCACGTCATTACTTGCAATTAAGAGCTCGGGTCGAACTTGATGTCCCTATAACGAAATTAATTTTAAATCGTTACTTCATTTATTTTAATGAATTATTGAAATAATGATGTACTCAAAAGATATACGAGAGGAACTTCGGTAATGATTTAAGAAATAGAGCACTTTAAAAGTTTAAAAATGCAAACTAAACTTAATTCTACAGAGAAATCAAATTTAAACACAAAGAAATACGAGGAAATTTTCTTTATGTTTTTGGTTTAGCGTAGTTAAAATTTATTGCTCAAAACATATATTTTTTTACCCGCCGTAAAGAAAATGTATTCTTATATAATTATTATATTAAAATACAAATAAAGAGACAGAATAAAATTTTTAACAAAATGCGAATATAATTTTTTTTAATGTAGTCTTGAAATTGTGATAAAAATATGATCATTTTACGGGGGTTTGAATTTGATCTTTAAACAAAAAGCGATGAGAATAAAGGATACACATTATTTTTTATTTTTTTTTATTTATTGAACAAAACACAAGATAACAAAAAAAATATGACACTGGTCGCGACCCTGATATGTACTCCTCACAGGAGACATATATATGTCAATAAATAATATTGCATTAGTCGTTGATTAAAATAATTTATATAAACTAATTATAAACTATTGATTTGACATGTTGTTGTTTGGAATAAAATGAAGACACTTTTAATTTCGATTTCTTTGTTACATTTTATGATAACGGTGAATTAGGATAATTTGTAAATGTGTAGATAAAAATTTAGCAAACTTATTCACCGCCGCCAGAATTCCAAACTACGCCTTCCGGATGGAAGGACTGGATGCGTAATCCAGTCGCTTTAGCCGCTAAGCTAAGCGGCATCCTCAGCGCAAAAAATTCTCGACGTCTTTTCTTCAATGTTTTCATAAAATTTAAATGATTCACCTTAAGTGCAGAGATTAGCACTATATAAATAAAATAAATATTTTTAGGACACATTTTTACACAACATTCTCTAGTCCCAAACTAATAAATTGTTGTACTATGGGTACTAGATAACTTATAAACATACTTAAGCATACTTTTAATTTGTAAATAAATACATATTATACATATATATATTAACTGACCCGATATAAATTAATTGTAGGGTAGAAAAAAATGTAGGGGTGGACCACCATTAGCATTTAGGGGGATGAAAAATAGATATTGTCCGGTTCTCCACCCTGGCCGATATGCATACAAAATTTCACGAAAATCGGTCGAGCCGTTTCGGAGGAGTTCAATTCAAAAAGTACAAACACCGTGACACGAGAATTTTATATATTAGATAAACACCCAGCAACTAGAAATACACTATGTTCATCAACAATATTTTTCCAGTTATGGGGATCGAACCCACACCCTTGGCGCAGGAGGCATGTAGTATGTAGTGTGTAGTGTACACATACGCCATTCGGTCGTCAATATTAATATAATTATACATTTTCAAAACTTAATACCGCCAAACTTAATACATAAACTTATTTTTTATTGTTTCGAAAATATGACGCTTATTCAAAAAAATGTTCCTATACTGCCTAAGTACGTGATAATTCAGCATATAAAACTGCAATTAAACATTTTGTTACTTATGTGTTACATATAAGGTTGCTTATGTGTTCTGGATTTTTAATGTAAAACGCCTGGGCACTTTGCTGTCACTGATTTAGAGCGACCACAAAGAAAAATCTAAAAAAAAAAACAATTTTACATATTAACGAGTATAGAAACTGCAAAATTAAGGCAAAGCTTTTTTTTTAAAAAAGCCGTTTGTTGTTTTTTTTAGATACATACAAGAAAACGAATTGTAATGATAAAATATTTAATGCGTTTCCGTGAAATAGAATATTTGTTATATACCTTAACAGTGTTGCTTAAAACTTTATGAGCGTTCATGATATTATTTTAACGTAAAGTTACGTTACAACCTTAACTTGACGTATAAAACCTGCACGTATATTTGGCATAGCTGAAATTTATGCCCGTATGCACCCGAGAACGCTCAACGCATCCAATTTTCAAGATGAATGGATCAATTTCTTGGGATGCTGGTGTTAAATTGAAATTGCATTCGCTCGCGTTGGAAATGATCCAAAAATTAGAATTTTGGCCGGATTGTGGCCCCATGCAGATGCGGCCGTAATTTCCCGTATCAGATATAAACATTTCGTTGCAAACGTACATTGTTGGTCCATGTTTAACTCCATTGAATGATGCAAGTTTTTATGTAATATTAAATAAATTTTCGTGAAATACCATGAATACTTAAGCGGAAAGATCTTAAAAGAAACCTTACTAACTTAATAAAATATCATACAGTTAATTGATCTAATATTTACAAGATTAATGCCGGTTTCTGAAACACTGATCATCGTAGATGTCAACTAATCAGCTGTCAAATGGCTTATCAAATTTCATTTTTTTAACCGAAAGGATGGTTAAACTCTTTGAATTGACAAAAATGAGTTTCTTAATGATCGGAATGATCAATTCAAAGAGTTTAACCATCCTTTTGGCAACGCATCTAAAATAACATATTATCTCATAAACCTAATCCATTCCAAACTCTTAAGATTGCCCTTTTTTTTTCAACTTTTAACAAATGCACCTATATAAACTTTTCTGGACCACCCCAAGGTTGACTCGGAAATAATTTTGATGGCATTAAGTACGCCTTTGTACATTTTTGTGTGTGCATAAAAAATAAATAAAGATATAAATAAGAAAACCTCTTGTACTATTCTACAAAATGATAGTAAATTACTATTAAAATCTTTTTTATAAACAACTTCGAGAAAACAAAGCCAATAAGTATTAAGAGTGAGTAAAGAATAATAAAATAAAAAAAATCTAAGCTCTTAAAGATATTGTGCTTCTGGTATCAATGCAACTCTGTTTTACACCGTTACCTTGCAATTTATTTTTAGAGGCAAAAATGTAACAACTATACAAATATAAAATGTGTATTAATCATCGTATTATTATAAATTAATAAAAATTAATATTTAAAAGTAAACTATTTGAATTATGACTCGTAGATTAAAAAACCGGCCAAGTGCGAGTCGGACTCGTGCACTAAGCATTCTGTACTTATTGTCTATGAAAAGGTAGGCAAAAAAAATCATGTATATTTTTTTCATATTTTTTATAGCGGCAACAGAAATACATCTTCTGTTAGAATTTCAACTGGTTAACTATCACGATTCATGAGATGGTGGCAGATGGATAGACAGATAGAGAGACAGTGGATTCTTAATAAAAGGGTCCCGTCTTACGCTTTGGGTACGGAACCCTAACAATAGAGGATAAAAACTGCGGCACTAATGTATAATATTTTAGGCCACATTCTTATACTTTGGATAATATGATTATTTTGCTTGTATTGTTTTTATTTTTGTTAATATATTTTGATCTTTAACCTTTCGTACATGTTTAAAAATATCGTCATTAAAGTTACTAATAAAACAAAAAGGACGGAACATTTAAAACAAAGAAGAAATCTAGAACCTTTCACATTAACAGTTCGAACACTATATAAAAAATGTCGTCAGGATTACGTAACATAGGATTAACAAAAGAAGACATATTTGTGCATTAAGATGTACGAATCAACTGATTTCAACTCTGCCATTAAATTATACGGAGAAAGTTCTATGCAAGAAGATGATGTAATTTTTTTTATTGCAGTATTCTTGTTTCATACGTCAGCTATTGTTACAATACATTGTGAATGGCGGTCTTTGTAAAACGCGAGGAAAAGTTGCATCCACTCTGAACTACTACCAAAGTTTTAAGAGCAGTGCAATACCTCTACTACCGGACGATACAGCTGCAAGACACAGGCTGCATTTAGTTTACTTATTATTACGGCTACATTTAGTTTATTTATCCTTTAAGAAATAATATGACATTGAATCATTATCTGTATCGAAAACTTAATGTTTCTATTTTTAAGTAGTGACGTTACAATACAATTCCGTAATTTATATTTATTTTTGATTTATAAAAACAGTAAACTTATGAGTTTCGTTTTATTTTAATTTGTTTTAAGGACAGTTGAACAAGAATTTTGTATTAAAAAAAAATAATGATAGTAAAAATATATCACGTACAAAGAATATACAGAAAACAATTGTCAAATACATGTCAACATGTCTACTTCGAAAAGTGCCAACAAAAAACGGAAATAAGGCTTAGGCCTATATATAAATTATTACATTTTGCTCGACGAAATTTATTATCAAAGAGATATTTTCATTAGACCACCTTTATTCATTTTCAGAAGTACGTTAAAAATATATGTCTGCAAAAATATTACTATTAAAGTAATAAATGCGAGATTCACGAGCATTATGTAACATAATGTCTCATTGACCTTTTTTTTTTTCACATTCATGGAAATTCATTAGTATTTAGGAAATATACAATTAAACTTACTTCGGCAACATATTACTCACTACGATGGTTGAAGTATCTATTTTAATACTAATTTATCGTAACATGTTAGTTCTCTCGAGATGTATAATCAAAGATTTTTTTATATATGGGTTAATAATGAAATAATTCCATACT